ACTAAAGACAAGGTTGAAGCATGTAAAAGATATATAGAGAGAAAATACACTGATCTATTAAAAGCAGAGATGGAGAGAAGAGAAGATTGGGCAAAATTATGGGTTAAAATGAAAGATATGTAATTGAAGGGTATGAATTTAAAGATTAATTTAATATAGCTTAGGATTAAGAGTATTATAAATAATTAGTTTTGAAGAAGGAAGCAGAACTTATGAGAAAAAAGTAATTAATAAATTTGAATATCTATTCATTAGAAGATAGAAGTTTTGTACTGATGATTTTGAGCCAATAGCAATAATTGGAAGAGGAGCTTTTGGAGAAGTTAGAGTTTGTAGAATAAAAAAGACTAAAGAGATTGTAGCAGTCAAAAAAATGAAGAAGTGTGAAATGTTAGCCAAAAATTAATTAGCACATATTAGAGCAGAAAGAGACATATTAAGTTAAGAGAATCCATGGGTAGTAGAATTAAAATGCAGTTTTCAAGTATTGAATATTAATTATATTGAGGATGATAAATATCTCTATTTAGTAATGGAATATATGGCAGGTGGAGATCTAATGACATTATTAATGAAAAAAGATATATTAACAGAAGATGAAGCCAAGTTTTATATTGCAGAATTAGTTTTAGCCGTTGATTCAATTCATAAAATGAATTATATTCATAGAGATCTAAAACCTGATAATATTTTGATTGATAGAAAAGGACATCTAAAATTATCTGACTTTGGTCTATGCAAGTATATTATTATCATATTTTATTTAAGATATTCAGAAATCAAACCAAAAGTTGAATTAGGTAGAAAAATTCCTAATTAAAATCCAGCCCCAACTCCTATACTCAACAAAATGTAAAAGAGAAGACAATTAGCTTTATCTACAGTAGGAACTCCTGATTATATTGCACCTGAAGTATTTACATAATAAGGATACACTGAAACAGTAGATTGGTGGAGTGTTGGAGTAATGTTATATGAAATGGTTGTTGGATATCCTCCATTTTTCTCTGATGATCCTTAAACAACTTGTTAAAAAATATTACATTGGCAATCATCATTCTAAATTCCATAAGATATTAGTCTGTCACCTTAATGCATTGATTTAATTAGAAGATTAGTAGCTGATCATACAGAGAGATTAGGTATTAATGGAGTAAGTGAAATTAAAATTCATCCATTTTTTTAAGGAGTAGATTGGAAAAGAATAAGAGAGAAAATCACTCCTTATTAACCTTAAGTGAATCATGAAATAGATACTTAAAATTTTGAATAATTTGAAGAAGAAGAACCTTGGAATTGGAATTCTAGTAGGAGAGTTAAAAAAGATCATTTTTAAGGATATTCATTTAATAGATAAGTTTAAAAAGAATAAAGTCCTGTAAGAGTGGCATTAGAGAATATTGATAAAGTTGAATTTCCAAAAAGATCATAACCAATTTAATAACCATAAAGTTAGATATAATAACCAGGTAGTCCATCTCATAGAAAAGTTATAGCTAAACCAATTGCTTATGCTTACAATAAATCTGCCAGATCAAATTCACCTGTAAATAAGAATTAATAATAATAAAGTTCTCTAAAAACTATTCCTTAATAACAAACACTATTAAATATTTTATCTTAATATAAAAGAAATTCTAATAATAATAATAATTCTAATAATAATTCAACACTCAATCATTCAAGTTCAAGATTACCAAATCTTAAAAGTGTTAGAGAATAAAGTCCTAGATCACCAAGAAATGCATAAAAATATTATTATTAATGATCTTTCATTTAATTTTGTTTACAATCTTAGTTTCATTATATCTTAAATAAATAAAGTAATAAATCATTCACAATTTTTTATCATTTTTAAGACCCAATCTAACAATATTTTTAATCAATAAATAATGCTCCAAATTTTACTCACATTTTTTCTTAGAATAACATCTAAATATATATATAATTTAAAAAAATACTTAATTTATTAAAAGTTAATATGGTTACCTAATTAATATATCTCTTTCAATATAGGGTATTATAAATTTTCAATTTATTCACATTATTTAGATTTATTAAAAGACAATCTTTCTAATAATTTATAAAAATTATAGCATGATTAATATAGTTCTGTTATTTAAACACTTAAGAATTATTATAATAGAACTGATATCATCTTTGGTTAACATCTAAAATATACAGTACTACTACCTTCTTTTTTAGATCTTACTAATTGTATATTCAATTATTGTTTCAATAGGATGAAATAATTTATTCGTGGTAAAATAGATTATAAGACACAACAATAGAAATACACTTATTAATTGAACAATAGCTATGTAGAATTGTGTTATCAACTTTTACAATAAATCATTATTATAATCTTCTTAAAATTTGTTAAATTCAGAACTACTTATTAAGCTTTGATTTATAATAAGAAATTTTACACAACAATTGAAATGTTGAAAGAACTAATTGTTTACATACTCACAAACATATCTTAATTATAAAAGGAATTAAATAGACAATTTAATTATTTTTAATTAGTTTGGTTTTTGCATTTAGAACTAATTGTAACACTATTTAAACTTTGCCAATCTTCTTCAGTAAATCCAGTAATAGTAGTATTATAGAAATATAAAGGTAATTAATCAGAAGTAATTTTGTAAGGATGCATAATTAAAATTCCATCTAAGGAAACTAAATATATAGATGTAAAATCTTAGCCAAATTGTTAAATTAGATTAGCAATTAGTCTGGCAGGAATCAAATCAAAGGCAGCTCCTCCTATTAATTCTAAATTTTCATCAACAAATGGCATAGTCATAGCTAATCCAATGTTGACTGATCTAAATACTAATTGAAGAAATAATCAATACATAAATATGGGGTTGTCAATGAATAATTATATTGATCATATGGAACATGACTATTAAAGTTTCTAGTCAGTTCCTTGTACCAACCCCTATCTTCTGGAATGTATTTATCGATATCATATCTTTACAAACAAGGATATGTCATTAAGATATTATCTCTTTTGACATATGCTGAGAGTAATGATTAAAATGTTGTATTGCCTTTATGAATGATTGGTCCGAATGCTTATAATTACTCTTGAGTCTTAATATTAAGAATTTCTTCTTCTGTGAAAGGATCATGTAACATTGTTTTATTTGTGTAACAAATAAATGAAATAGTTGAGTTGTAATTAGATATTTTGTTTGATGATATTATAGGTTTAGGAATATCTAAATTATTACCACCATAATTCATATTAAATTATGTGTTTAGAGGAGATGGATGATCCTTATTCTTTTTCTTAAGGTAATTGTATAATTAGAAAACTGATATTAGGGTTTGACCATCTATATATACAAATTAAAAGTTTACTTGAATTAAGTAGAGAAGTGAAATAACTTTGGTATCTAGAGAGTTGTGTTTAGATAAAAGCACTAGAAAATTTGGTGTATATTTCTTCAGAGGATTGAGTAAAATAGAATTGAACAAAGGTTGAGTGAATATAATTAGTACATACAAGAAATGTAACAATGAAGATAATCAAGAAACTAATGAGTAAAAGTAATTAATTCTTAAGTCTTAAGTGTTTTAAACAACTAAAGTTATGTGCTATTTTTTCTTTATTTTCCCTTTTCATTAATAAGATTAATAATTGATATTGATTAAATTTTATAAAATAATAAGTTAAAGCTAGATCTATCACTAATATATTGATGTTGATTATAATTTATTTTTCAGAAATTTAGCAATAATATTTATATATATGATAAAATGAAATAACCTTCTATTATTAATTATAACATTTTTTAATTCATCAAACAAAATTTAGATAGGATTAAATTTTTCATTATTATTATATATTGATAAAATATGGCAGGAGGATTAGAAAGAGTATATGGAACTGAAGAAGACAAGGTTATCAATAATATCTTAAGATGTAGGTTAATTGTTCGTTCTATATCAAAATTGGTGCTTGTCGTTATGAGAATAAATGTTAAAGAATCCATAGCATACCTCCCATCTCATAAACAATATTATTTAAAGTAATATCTTATATATATTATATATATAGCATATGTATTAAAATTCTCCTATGGAAGTAGCTATTGCATCTGGTAATGCAGTGTCTCAGGCAGGTATTGAGGAAGCATTAGAAAAATTCGAAAACTTTTATGAAGATGTATTTTTAAAGGTATGGATTATGTTTATTAATATATAATAGTTGGCTGAATTTGGAGAAATAGAAGATCTAATTGTATGTGAAAACATTGGTGATCATTTAGTTGGAAATGTTTATGTGAAATATACATCAGAATATTATGCAGAGGGTTGTTTTAATGCTTTGCAAAATCTATCTTATGAAAATAGACCATTATAAATGGAATATTCACCTGTTTTAGATTTTAGTAGTGCTAAATGCAAATAATATATTGATGGTACATGTTAAAGGTATAAAATTACATATTTATTTAGAGGTGGAGCTTGTAATTACTTACATCTAAAGAAGATCTCTACCAAATTTAAAAAAAGTTTATTCAATTAAATGTATGAAGAACATCCTGATTTTAAAGAAAAAAAAGAAAAAGAAAATATTGAGTATTAATTATTTAGAATATTATTTATTTAGAAAAAGCCCTAAAAAACATAAAAAGAAAGAAAAGAAATCAAAAAAGAAAAAGAGTAGTAGTAGTAGAGAATCTAGTAGAAGAAATTCAATTGAAAGATAAAAAATGATTAATGATTGGAATGAAACTGGAATTTAAAATGTAATTTATATTTAATAAACATTATTAATTAGGTTTCATAAGCATAAAAACTGATGTATGGAAATAATATGCCTGCTCCTGTTTATACTCCAAAAGTATCAATGCGAACAAGTCCTGAATTATTACAATTATAACTATAATTAGCTGCATTAAAAGAATAATTAGCTGCTATTAAAATGAGTTGAACATGCTTATATTTTATTTTATAATAATTAAATTATATATAATCTAATTATGTAAAGAAAGAATTGGAAACTAGAAGTATGTATTTTATTTAATACAAATTAGGAAGATAATGCATTATTATAGAATTGTTAACAATTAAATTTTAATTGGAAAAGAGTTTCAAAAAATATGAATTAAATGGGATTTAAAAGATCTGGTAAATCTTGTAAAGAAAGATTCCAAAATCAATTAAACCCTCATATTAATAAAGATTAATGGTCTCAAAATGAAATTGATAAACTTTTTGAGTTGTAAATTAAACATGGAAATAAATGGGTATTAATTATGATTTATATTTAGAGAATCATTGCCAAAGAATTACCAAATAGAACTGATGGACTTATTAAAAATTATTTTTATTCTCTAGTTAGAAAAGTTCTACGTCGTCTATCTAAAGCTGTTAATAGAAATAAAAATGGTATATTTATAAATATAATTGATCTAGGTTCTAAAATGACTAAGACTTTAAAACCTTCAGTAATCTCATAAATCTTTTGTGCAAATTAGAATGAAACCAAATAGTCACCAATTAATTTAGAATTTGCTTACTTATTTAGAAATATGATATTCAAGTATAAAAATTATAACTTGTCTTAAAAAATTGATAATGAAGATATTAGCAAAATAAAATTAATATTTCTTACGTTACAAAAATTAAAGTACTTTGATACCTTATTTTTAGTGAATCTTATAATANCATGTTAAAGGTATAAAATTACATATTTATTTAGAGGTGGAGCTTGTAATTACTTACATCTAAAGAAGATCTCTACCAAATTTAAAAAAAGTTTATTCAATTAAATGTATGAAGAACATCCTGATTTTAAAGAAAAAAAAGAAAAAGAAAATATTGAGTATTAATTATTTAGAATATTATTTATTTAGAAAAAGCCCTAAAAAACATAAAAAGAAAGAAAAGAAATCAAAAAAGAAAAAGAGTAGTAGTAGTAGAGAATCTAGTAGAAGAAATTCAATTGAAAGATAAAAAATGATTAATGATTGGAATGAAACTGGAATTTAAAATGTAATTTATATTTAATAAACATTATTAATTAGGTTTCATAAGCATAAAAACTGATGTATGGAAATAATATGCCTGCTCCTGTTTATACTCCAAAAGTATCAATGCGAACAAGTCCTGAATTATTACAATTATAACTATAATTAGCTGCATTAAAAGAATAATTAGCTGCTATTAAAATGAGTTGAACATGCTTATATTTTATTTTATAATAATTAAATTATATATAATCTAATTATGTAAAGAAAGAATTGGAAACTAGAAGTATGTATTTTATTTAATACAAATTAGGAAGATAATGCATTATTATAGAATTGTTAACAATTAAATTTTAATTGGAAAAGAGTTTCAAAAAATATGAATTAAATGGGATTTAAAAGATCTGGTAAATCTTGTAAAGAAAGATTCCAAAATCAATTAAACCCTCATATTAATAAAGATTAATGGTCTCAAAATGAAATTGATAAACTTTTTGAGTTGTAAATTAAACATGGAAATAAATGGGTATTAATTATGATTTATATTTAGAGAATCATTGCCAAAGAATTACCAAATAGAACTGATGGACTTATTAAAAATTATTTTTATTCTCTAGTTAGAAAAGTTCTACGTCGTCTATCTAAAGCTGTTAATAGAAATAAAAATGGTATATTTATAAATATAATTGATCTAGGTTCTAAAATGACTAAGACTTTAAAACCTTCAGTAATCTCATAAATCTTTTGTGCAAATTAGAATGAAACCAAATAGTCACCAATTAATTTAGAATTTGCTTACTTATTTAGAAATATGATATTCAAGTATAAAAATTATAACTTGTCTTAAAAAATTGATAATGAAGATATTAGCAAAATAAAATTAATATTTCTTACGTTACAAAAATTAAAGTACTTTGATACCTTATTTTTAGTGAATCTTATAATACTGATAATCATAAAAGATTAGAAACTAAAATAAATTTAAAATAAGAAAAATAAAACAGAAATAACTTCAATGTTAATTTTAATGCCGTATATATATATAATTAATATTATTTAGATAATTATAGATAAAATTAATAAAAAACTTCCTATTTTTACAACTAATTTATTTCCTATAGAAAAATTATATCAAAGATAAGATAATCATTTTGATAATCCTTTATAAATTAACCCTTAAGTAATATCATCTTTAAATTCGTAAAATGTGGATAAAACTTTTAGTTATACTAATTTCCCTTTGAAATAACAACAATAGTAATATATTATTTATCATCCTATTCCTTAATATTATTATGTACGTTTACTAATATTATATAGCCTATGACTTTTAATGCTTATGTATAATAACAACAAAATTTAAGCAATTTTTATAGTTCTTATTAACATGAATCAAATAAAGTCAAGGAAGAAAAAGAAGAATGAATGGTTCTAATGAAACAGGCTTTTATTATGTTTATTATGATAAAAATTCCCATTTACTCAAATTTAAATTAATATCGAATATATTAATTAAATGAAATTCATAATTAATACTTTTTGAAGAAAAGAATATCTTATAATTATTATTAATTCATTCAAAATTTATTAAATACTTCTTACTCAAAATATTTTACTTTTGGATAGACATTTTGCATCATAACTTTTATTACATTTCTAACATGCCTTAATAATAGGTTTTTCCAATTCTTTTCTTAAATATTCATATTTTTTATTTGATTCTGATAATTTTTATTCAATATATCTATTCTTCTATTTATCTTTAGCTTTTAATTCTAATTATTATTTATATTATTAATTTAATTCTTCAATGTATTATAATTTCTTTTAAACTTCTTAATTTTATTCATTCTCTTCTCTATTTTGTATTTGTTTATTGATTAATTCACAATTCAATCTATATTCTTCTGCTGTCATTATCCTCTCATTTCTCTAAATTATTCAATAATCATACTTTTTTTTCTTTTTATTCTTAAATGGCTTTCTATAAGTACTTTGAATATTAAGTTTCTATCATTCTTTTTTTACCTTATTCTGCTAATTTAATTTATTAATCTAACTAATGTTAATAATCAGCTTGTTATCTTTCTTATTATTTTCTTTATTTTTCTTACTCAATTAAAACAGATTCTTTCATTTTTAATGATTCATCTCTTTGTTATTTTAATAAATTCCTTTCTATAATTTTTTTTTATTAAATTATTTATTCAGCTTTTTCTTCATCTCCTACTTTAAACCAATCTGTTTGACTATCATCTTATGTTTTAAGTTTTCTATTTTTAATTTATTCATTCAAACTTTCCATAAATTATTTCTTTTTGTAATAAGATTAGATGACTTCTTGTTATATTCTATTTTAATCTAAAATATCTGTTTTTTTTATTTATTATGCTAACTTTTCATTGTCTTACTTTTCTTTACTTTTTCTTTCCTCTTTATATTTTTAACTTTCTTAATAACTTCTTTATAAGAATTCTTTTTCCTTTAATTTCTTTTATATTATCTAAGTATTCTCCTCTTCCTATTATTTAATAATTGATTTAGTCATTTCATGTACATAAGCTCTATCTTATTCAATTAATTTCTATTTAAGATATTTCTTTTAATCAGAGATTTCATTATTAACACAATTATAGCAAACTTAAGAGAGACTTTTAGAAGCTGATTAACGATTTGCAATATACTCTTAATAAGCTGTGACTGTCTTAGAAGATGTATTTTAATGAGTAGAATTTCTTAAACTCTAATTTTGTTGACTTCTATTTATTATAGATTGTTGCATTTAACAGATATTTAATAATAATATGAATAAATTAATATTGTAATTTTATGAAATGTGCAAATATTATAATCATATTTATATTTAAGTAAAATCTTTAAATCTCCTTATTATTAAAAATAAGTAATTATACAAAGTGAAAGTTCTCAAAAAAATGATTATTATATGAAATTATTTATTTAGTTTAAATTTATTTAATAATAATTAAAAAAACAATTATCTTTTGAATTATGAGAGCACTTAATTTTTAATTAAATATATCAATATAAATATATATGATATGATTGCCAATATAAAATCAATTTAATATTCACTTAATTAAATAAACATAGAAAAATCATTAAGTAAAATATCGATGGGATTAAAATATTAAATGAATTAGATGTTAATGGATATCATATTTAAGAATCTAAAGAATTATTTGTACAATATTTTTTGAATAATCATTCGAATGTATAAATTCTTAGGAATCTATAGAAATAAATTAATCATTGATTTACAAGTTTAAGAATTAAGAATTGCACTAAATTTTTTTAATTTGATGATAACTTTATTATATTTGATGAATTTTACGAGATAATAACTATAACAATTTATATAGTATATTTATAATTGATTATAAACTAAATAAATAACATGTGAATTTTATATAATATCTTAATATAAAATTCAAGTCAAACTCCCTTTTTATGGTACATAATTATAATTTAATATATAATTTTATGAAATTTATATAAATTCTATTTAAATAGTATTTTTGAAAATCTAAATCATTATTGAATCAATCTAATTTTAAAAGGCTGAAGCTAAGGAAGTTAAAATTTATTGTTTATGTTTTATTTAAGTGGACTAGCTATTTTAGGTTTCTCAGGTGATTTAGGAGGTTTCTAGGTTGAGTCAAATTTTGAAAATTAAAATGATGGAATTCTTTATCTTGTAATAGTTTTTCTGTCACTTGTTGGATTAGATGAAAATGGAAGATTAGAATTTTATTTTTCAGTTGATACACTATTACCTGAGGAATAAAATGATTATTTTGAACTTGGTTATAATTTTTTAGTTATCCTATTAATTTTATAATGTGAAGATTTCAAAGGTGAATCATCTTAAATAAAAGTTGTGTTCGAATTAAATCTAATAGAAGTTTCTTTAGAATTTTAAATGGATTATTTATTGATTTTATTTTTTTTTTGATTCTCCCAAAATTACTCTAATGATATAAAATCAAGTCTATCTTTTGGATTTAATTAAATCATTTTTCTTAGAAGAATTGAAACATCATCATCATTTTAATTGATTTTAGTATGTAATGTGTGAATATATTCATTAGGAGTTATTTAACATCTTTGTGCATGAGAAATTGAGAAGTTTTTGTAAATATAAAGAAAGAGTAATCCTAATGAAAAAACATCAGATAAGTAATAATTCTTGGCATCCCCTGACAACATTTCTGGTGACATATATTTATAAGTCTAATTTTTGATATAAACATTGTACTCCAACTGCATCAATTAATTCTGAACTTTAATGCTTGCTTGAACCAACATCACATATCTTATAATATGTAGGGTTCAATTCCATTACTAAAATATTTGCTGGTTTGATGTCGCAATGTGCAATATGTTTTCTTTACAAATATGCAAGTGCATTAAGGGTTTGATCAATCAAAGAATTATCAATTTAATAACCTGCCTATTTAAAGTCCTCCAAATTGTATTAACCCAATTCCATACAAATATAACCTAATTATTCTTAATGGTATTAATTAATGGAATAAGATAAAATACAAGATTCAAGATATTTAACAATATTAGGATGATCAAGTGACTCTAACAATTAAACTTCTTTTTACATTTATTTTATATCATGATTCTAGGTTTCAGTTAATTCATACTTCTTTAATTGCCACTTATTTTCCTGATGAATCTTATGCTTAGTAAACACGATTATGGGTTTGACTTAAATACCCTTTGATTATGTATTTATGAAAGAGATTAAAACCTTATTCACATTTCATGTGTTATTAAGCCATAAACAAGAATTAAATGTCTTTCCTTTAATCGCTGATATCATTCATAATATAAATTATATAATTATCATGCATCTATTATTTTGAAATCCTTTTATCTAATAATATTAAGATGTTGATATAATCCAAAGTTTATAATTAATGAAAATACAATCTCACTCATAATGTAAGTAATTATGAATAATGTATTAGAAATGATATGCTAATAATTTTTGGATTATTATATCGATATGAAGATATTGGAAGACAATATTAATTTGAAATATTCATAATCATTTATTAACTAAAAATAGATCAAAACTTATTAAAATATTATAAATATCTATATTATTTAATTATATATGGAATTTATAATAATAAAATAATCTAATCTCTCTAATTAAATTATTTAATATCTTTATGTTTTTTATATTGCTGAGATTATTATTAAAAAGAATATTCTATTATATTCTAAAATTTTTATGTCTCTTGAAACAATATTAGACCTACTTTTTTAATTGTCTACATAATTATTTTCAAAATCTTAAAAGTCTTAGACTGTTGGATTTATTAAAAGATAATATTTCTATTTATTTAGTTTAATAAATTATAATTGAGAATTCAAGATAAACTAATAAGTAATGTAAAAGATCATAGTATAACTAAGAGTTCTGTTTAATACATCTAATATCACTTAAGTATTAGATATCTTTGAAATTTGAGTTTGAAAATAGCTTTGACCAATTCAAATATGAAATAATTAATAAAATGATGAATTTATTATGCGAATTTATCCGAATGAGTATTTATATGATAATTTAAATTATTTTTTATAATAATAATAAAATAGGTTTTTGTGTTTACTAACTTAAGTTAATAAACAGATATCAAATTAAAGATAATTATTTATTATTCAAGTTTAAAATCTCTTTATTTATATTGCATATAATACTATAAATTTGTTTATTAACATATTTAGTTTTTTGAATGAAATTTTGTATGAATCTTCCACTTATATAATAGATCAATATTAACAAGTGTTAAATAGTATGTGATTATGATATCTTTATGTAAACTAATAAAAAGAAATTGTATAATATTTATATAAATTAATGAATTAAGTTATGACTTTAGGTTGTGTTTCAAAAAAGATGATGGACACTTATGCAGTTTAAGTCTTTTGTATGAATACTTGGGATCATTGTTGTTTAATCTATCATAAAAAAAAAATGCTTATTAAATACCATTATTTAGAATAGAAGATTGTCAGATAAATTTTATGGTGTAAAAAAAAATCATATAGAATATTTGATATTACTATGTCTAAAAAGTAAAGATTATACTTTTTATTGTGTTAAGATTGGTATATTTACTTTCTGAATTTTGAATTTCAGATTGTTAATAAAGTTTAAATGGAATGCAAATAATTTACAAATCTGTTATTCCTTGATCATTTAAGTACATTTGTAATGGTATAATTCAATTCAGTAAGTACATTTGAAATCTAAATGAAAGAAAGATTTAAAATTGTTAAATATTAAGAATTGACTGGATCTTTGGAATGGAATAGATAATGTAAATTATTAGATTATTTTTACATCTTATATAATTCTCAAAATATAACTATATATGATTTGAGAAATATTAAACATTTAGGATCAGTTTAATTAGGTTTAACTATATCAGATATCTATTATATTAATGATTTATTATATTTGGGAGATGTCTATGGTACTCTTTGGTGTTATGATTTAAAAGGTACTCTTTAATATTTCCACGAACATGCTCATGATGGTTAAATTGTAAGTATGACAGTTTATAAAGAAGAATTATTTACAGTAGCAAATGATCTCTTTATTAAAGTGTGGAAATTGAATAATCTCATATTTTGTCAATCATATCCTATCTATCAATAATAGATATAGTATTTCAAATTCATCAATTATTCTAAATACTTCCTACAATCAACAGATTAATTATTTATTTGTGATTTAAACCATATATTGTAAGCTTATTATTTACATAATTCATCTGTTTCTGCAATGTCTACTTAATGTATAGCCTTTAAAAATCATGTTTATTATTCTAATTAAACTCATAAAGTATTAATAGCTCCTAATTCTGTTTATTAAGTAATCTAAATTATAGATAGTCCAAATCAACCTAATACATATTACTTACATTTATAAAATTAAACTTTAGCCAAATGGGTCAATAATTAATAGATTGAAGTACTCAATTTTGATAAAATCAGAACTATTAATGGAGATAAAATCAATTAAGAAATAACATTTGTTTAAATTATTGCTCTTTCTCCTCCTCTCTATGATGTTGAATTAACTATTGATTCAAAAGATAAAAATAAAATTTCTAAAATGCTTGAAAATGCAGATTAATCTCTATTTTTTATTATGGGTTGTTCCAAAGGAGCTGTATTATGTGTTCCATTAGAACATTTTACAATAATTTATACACGTGTAAATTATAATAAAAATGCAATTTCAGATATTGTATATTTTAATGATCAATTGATTATTAAAAGTATTGATAATGTCATCAATTTCGTTTAAATTTAATCTAATAAAACTTAATTAATTAAAACAATTATACTTGTTAAATTAGGACCTATTCATTTAACTTAAGCCAAATATTTAGTAATTGCACAATCTAATGAGTTATATGTATTTAATTCAAAATTAGAAGCTTATGAAACTAATGCTGGACATGAAGCTGATATAAAATAAATTACAAGCAATGAAAATTATATTGTAAGCAATTCTTTATAATAACTTAAAATATGGACTATTTAAGGATTTTGCATTTATACTATCAATTTTCATGTCTAAATAGATTATATCTTTTATATAAAAAATGATCTTATTACTAGCTTAAATGGAGGACTATGTCATTTATCTATACCAGAACATGAAACTATAGAGGTTGATACTCATGAATATAATAAAATAATAATTTAGGATTTGGCAGTACCCAAAAAACAATCATCTATAAAATAAGAATCATAATTATTATAATAATAATCATTTATTTAATAAAATTATGAATTCAAATAAACTTTAGAACTTCCAAAAATTAAATTAAAAGTTTAAACACAACATTATTATGATAATCCTTAGACTCCAATTCAAAAAAAATATTATACACTTCATACTGCAACCAATAAAAGTACTAACACAAGCACATCTAATTCTCAAATTCCTATTAGTTAAAGTTTTGATTCTTGTGTTTAACATGCAGAAGATACTAGTTGTGTCTTACCTGCCATACCTAAACAAAAAGAAGATACATCCTTATTAAATCAGTACCTAATTAGAAGAGTCAAAAAAGGACAGCCAAGAAATAGAAGAGAATGGACATTAGATAAAAAGATTATGGGTAATATTTCATAATTAACTTGAACTTATAATTATTAATTTATTTACTATTTATAAGCTATTTAATTTTAATCAATTAAATATACTATTTAATTATAATTAATTAACGAATGCAAACCATATGAATTTAATCAATATTCTTTAAGAAATGAAGATTAAACTGTATAAATTTTAAATGAATTATTTTATAAAATGAAATTATTAATCTTTAAATGAATTAAAATCCATTGCCAAAGAATAATAAGAAAAATTATAGTTATAGGATTAGAAATAATATTAACATTAAGATGTCTTCCCAAAGAAGTTATATTTAATATTACGCCTGTAACTATTATAATATGTGGGTACAGTCAAAAAGAATTAATAGTTGGGTAAGAAGCTTAAAGGGATTCGCATCCTTTATGTCTCTCTTAATATGATTTGGAAAAGAAAGTGAATATAACTATTATAAAAATGTTTATTCTTAAAGAATAAATATATTCAATTTATTGGACAAGGAAGATAAAGTTAAGAAATAATTGAATGGTTTAAAATGAGCAGTAAGAAATATAACATAATGATTATGGAATTGAATAATAATCAATTATAAACAATCATTATCTTTAATACCATCCAATTTCACATTTTCCTGGTTTATAGCATTAATTGTGTTCATATTCTAATTATCTTTTGGCTTCTTGAGCTTTTTGTGAAGTTTATTTTTGTTTTTCTTAATCTCTCTTTTTCTAGTTTTTTTTTGCCTATTTATCTGCATTTCTTTCTTTCCTTTCACTTTCTTTTTCAAGCATTTAAGCAAATTCTTCCATGTCTTTTCTGAAATTATCCTTTAAGTCCCACCAAATAGGAGTTTTATAATCTTCTTCAGTCAATCTTAACCATAAGACTAATTAATATTATTATGGAATTACCTGGTTCTATCTTTGTTAGATTTACATACATAGTTCCTACAGATTCCACTTTCTCATAACTAGTAGCTGGATCGATTGGTTTATACAATTTAATTGCATATCTATATTTGAATGGAATATGTGAAACAATTCCAAATGCTTCAATCAAAAGGGAATCATTCTTTATTTCAACTACCTCTAATTTTGCATTCAAACAAGCAGGTGCATCTTATCTGTGAGAGAACTTGATATTAATAAATGTAGCGTTTTTTGATTGAGCCCATTAAACAACAGGTTAGACAACTTAGACTTAATTACTTTTTGCCATTGCTAATTTGAATAGAGTTTACATTTCTCTTTAATTGAGATACTTATCATTCTTTAAGAATTAACTAAATAAATTAAAGAACAATACACAATTCTATCAGTAATGTCGATGTGATTTAAAAGGAAATAATTCTCATAAAGACTCAATGCAACTTTATAATATCCTCTTGATATGATAAATTCCAAACATTCATATTCGATTTGATGATTCTTTATTACATGATCCTCAAAATAGATCTAAATTTTAACTAAAGAATTCTAAAATGCATATTACCTTCAGGATCACCAATGGTGAATTGTTCTAAATAGCATTTCTTGAGTAAGTCTTGAGAAGCTATAGAAACACTAATTAAGAATGTAAGGAAAAGCATATTAAATTACGTGTATTTTAATAATTAAGAAATTTCTATATTAAATGAAATAGGTGAATCGAACTTAAAATGAATAGAATCTAGTACATTCTGCAATTGCTTTTATCAGAAAATAGTATGAATGTATAGAATCTGAAGAAGTCCCTTAGGAATTATTAGATAATAAATACTATAAAGAATATGAGCCACTCGATAAACTAGAATTATTAACAGATCAACACATAAAATATTGTACAAAGAGACTATTAAATATTGGTTATTCTATTATCTATTTGGATGTTGGATAACCTTGGTGTATATATTGGCCATTAAATGCTTTGAGTATCTTATAAGAAGATGTATCAAAATATGAACATAAAATATTGTAATATTTAGAAAAATGTAAAATTGGTGGTTTTGGAGGAGGTCCTTATTAATATGAACATTTAGCACCTACATATTCATCTTTGTTATGTATAAATAATTTATATTTTAGCATTATTCATTCTTGCATCTCCAGCTTCTTTAGGAATGATTGACAGAAAAGGATTGGAAAAGTTCTTCTGGTCTATTCAGGATCCAAATGAAAAGGGATCTTATTTAATGCATGTTAATGGAGAAGCAGACATTAGAGCTGTCTATATAGTTGTGATAATGGTAGTCATTCTTAAATTAGAGTATCTCTATATTATAAAAATATTAGTCCAAAATTATTGGATGGTTGTGCTGAATACATTGCATCATGTTAAACATATGAAGGAGGAATAGGAGCAGTACGATATTCAGAAGCTCATGGAGGATATGCTTTTTGTGGATATGCTGCTTTAGTTTGTATGGGGAAAGCACATTATATTGATTAAGAGAAACTATTAAATTGGTTAGTAAATAGATAAATGGAAAAGGAAGGTGGTTTTAATGGTAGAACAAATAAAGTTGTCGATGCCTGTTATTCATTTTGGTAAGGAGCCATATTCAATTTGCTTTAATTATCTGGTTATCTCAATGAATAGTTAATGAATGTATATGAATTAAAGACATATATTCATATGTGTTAAAATCCAACAGGAGGAATATTTGATAAACCAAGTAAATCTCCTGATACTTACCATACATGCTATGGATTAAGTGGTTATTCTTTAACAGATAGCAATTTTTAGAATCCAATATACAATGTTCCAAATAAATGTATAGATTTTGTACAAAAATTCTTCTAATGATCATAGATTTTAAAAATTTACATATTATATTAATTCATAATTTAATAAGAATTATTATTATTTAATATAATAAATAATATAAAGAATTAATATTTAATAATTATTTTTTCAATTATAATAGAAGAAATTGAATTAATATCGAATGTTTATTATATTACTCATATAATTTTCTTATCTACTTTAGATTTATTATACATATATGCAGGACATATGTATTCTCCACAATTACATTTTGATCCAATATATTTAAAATCTCCTACTCTTTAATTACATTTTTAACATGATATTTTACCATCTTATTCATATTCTTCAATAAAATTAGGTCTTTCAATAAAATAATGATTACATTCAGGTTCTATATGATATTAAATTAATTTTTACTTATTCCATGAACTAAAACTGCTGATAAAAATACATCAGTCCTACATTTAATACATTTAAAAGCACAATCTTTTTATGATCTAATTTAAGTTTTAAGATGAGCTGAAATCTATTAAAAATATTGATCTAATTGAAATAATTCCTACTCTTCTTAGATCTTACTAGTAACTTTAATTTCTGGTTTTTTGAATGAGATAGTTTATAAAATTTCATTTAAATTGCATTAAGTAATTTTTTAAACTACAGATGCAATAAGTGCTGGAGCTCTATTAATTCCAAATTAACTATGAATTAAAACATTTCCTTCTTTATTATCTAAAAACCATTATAAGGTTTGATTAGGAATGATTTCACCTTATTCTTAAATATTCAACTTCAAGTAATTAAATTTTTGTTTAAACTCATAGATATTTGGGCATTCAGAAGTACCAAAACTATTTAATTTAATAAGCCTTACAATTAATAATATGTTTGATTTGTTTTTACTCCAAAAAGTTTAAATTGGAAGCATCATTTATAGATCCAATATAGATTTATTGTATAGGTGAAAATGTAAAGACAAATGCCATTAATTAAAATAATTTATATATTAATATAATTATAATTACTAAGAATTGAAATACATCTTGTATAATTTAGATACTTTTTAGATTGAAATGAATGTTATTAAATGAAGTATTCTCACATAAACTTTAATTACTTAAAAATAATTCAAAGTGAGATTTTGATTTATATTTATTTATTTATATTATTATGAAATCAAAGGATAATTATAAGTTATTAGGTCTAACAGTATTTTTAGCAGCTACTAGTTATTACTATTTACAAAAAAGAAAGAATAGACCCCTATGTTAAAAGATAGCAGATAAATTTCAAAGTTCATATGATAAAATTGAATCTTACTTTTATGGTAAAGGTATAGAAGAAGTAATACTCATAATTTATTGAAGTTGAAAAGTTCTCTTGTAAATAATTAAGAATATATGCAGATTCTACAATAAGCAGAAAATGATTTCTTTGATTTATAGATAGTATATGAAGAAATATCTAAAGTGGATTTTCTTAGAGAATTATCAATCTTAAATAAATAAAATAATTAATTATTAGAAATAAAACTAGTTGCTTAATATGTTGAAAAGTAATGAAATGATAAAGTATATAGAAATTCACTACGATTAGTTTAATAATAAATTATTGAAAAATTAGCATCATAGAGAATGACAATAATGCAACCTAATATTTAATTTGGTGATTCTACTATTAAATTTTTAATGTTTGTTTAATGTGCTTTTCTAAGATTGATATATGAAGTAGAAAATGTATTAAAAATAAAAAATAATAATCATTAAATAATTAGACATAATTTTATTTTGAAATGTATCTTAGATTACTTAAATAAAAAATTGACTGATTATCCAAATCTAAAAAATCTAGTAGCAATAGTAATGCTTGAGAAAATAGGATCCAATTAATTTTGTTTTGAATTTTATCATGATTGCAAAGATCTCTATTATACAAAAACCATAGAAGATTGTTAATGTCTTTAAAGTTGTGATTGTTGTATTTTTGATTTACTAACTAGATATATTTCAATATTTTAATTATCTTTTTAAAAATAATTGTTTGAATTTATCAAATGTAATTAATTATTTTAGACTCATGAACATATATTGTAAATGGGAAAAATATTATTGAAAAATATATTCTATTTAGGAGGATAATTAAATCAAAACTAACTTTTTTATTATGACACATTTTCACCATTACTTAATTTATTAATAGAAGCAACCTCTAATAAAAATATATAAGAAGAAATATTGAAATCGGAGGAGTTTAGAGTTAGTATTTAATACATTGAAAAAGTTATAAAGTCTAATGAAAATTCTTTTTTAAATAACTTTTTAGATGGTTTAATTGATTTATATGCAATTATATATCCATTATTTTATAATTAAAATGCTTTGAAATCAGTTATCAATGATGATGTAAAAATAAAATCGATTTTAAGTACATTTTTTGGAGTGTTACTTAACTTAGAGAGTAGAGATACATATACTTCTAATAAATGTATTAATTAAAATATATAAAATTAGAAAATGATATTAGTATTTTAGATTGGTTTGCTATGAATATGGGTTCTATATTCACTTAATAATTATTGGGGAATATTTCAGTTGAATTTATTCTATAATTACTCAAACTTAAAGAGATTTAAAAAGAAATAATAGATACTTATATTTATTGCTTAAGAACCTCTTAAAATAAAAGAATTTAAGATAAATTACAATAAAAGTAAAATATTGATGTCAATACTTTCATCTCTAAATTAATAAGTTTAGTTGTAATTTCATTATTAAAAGAAGATTTTACTAATTAAAATATGGATTCAATTATAGATGAATTAGAATTTGTTGATGAGGATGAAAGATCAAATATATTCTTAAATATAATGAGAATTCAATTTGAAATCCCTTCAATGAATTTGAATTATCTTAGATACGTCTCTCAGAAATGCCTATAATTATCTGAAGAAAATTTCCAATCCTTTAATGGATACTTCACCAATCTTTTGAATCCAACTACTCTATCTTATGATCAATATATGATTTCAATGCAAATAGGAATCATTTATGGAAAAGTTGACTCCTTTTTTGCATCCGTCGGATAAAGTTTTCAAAGAGATCTCTAAGTATATGAATAATACAAGGACTTCTTATAAAGAGATGTAATTTATTTATTTTTAATTCATTAGCTAATTCTTATTGTAGATTTAATGGAGAATCCTTATTACTTTGCTAATGTATTAGTTCATAATGGAAATTGTCCTGAAGATATTTATCAAAATTTAATTAAAAAAGCTGCAATTTCTATTTGGTAATTGAATCCTAAAATCAATTTTTCACAATTACAATATCAAATTTCTTTATTTTTATGTCTAGAAAATTTACCTAAATATATTCAAGAAATGTTTATTGAAAATTAGAACAAAATTATTAGATTAAAAGAATAATATGAATAATTATGGCCATTTTAATGTTTATAAAGAGATTTATCATCAATTGATATTTATTTAAAATTAGTTGGGGATGAAGTCGTATTCAATGAAGTACATAATTCCTTTGATTTATTAGTTATTGTAAGATTAGGCTAGTTTTGAATTCTTATCCAGAATATAAGAAGTCTTATTTAAAAGCCCTAATTTTATATAAATAATTTATCAATTACTATTGTGTGTCAATAGATTGAATTTAAAAATTTGGATAGGCAAAATATTGTTTTATGCTAAAAAGTTAAGATTAAACAATAAAGAGTGTGATATCTTATTAAAATCTAAAGAGTGTTAATCCTTTATATAAGAAATGCCAGATAATTATAGGAAATATATGTTATTACAAAATTGAAATTTAGATATATATTATTTTATTAAAGATGTTATTTTTATACTATAATTAATGATGATTATATTTTTTTAGTTATAATGATTAGTGGTAAATTTATAGATTTGTATAAACAAATAAATTAATTTAATTGATAAAATTTATTAATAATTATTTATAATAATAAGAATATAATATTTATTTAATTTTTTGATCACTTTTATAGGATAGATTATTTAATTATAATGCAATCATTTTGAAAATATATTATAATGGATATTAAATAGATTTATTTTTTTCTAAGAATAATTAATTAGTTTTATTTAATACATAATAGAGTAGTATAATTATAAATAGATATTTTCAAAAAATTCTTTAAATAATAACAAAATTATTAAAATTTAATCAGGATTTATTGATCATCTAATATATTATAAACTCAAAATCATTGTTAATAGAAATTATGTATATGAGACTCTAATTTTAATTGAACATCTTTTCCACATGATAAAAAATCATCAATTTAATCTGATTAATAATTTAAAGCCTTCATAAATCCAACAGCAAAAATGAATTTGATTGCTTAAATATTATAGGTAGGTCTTCCAACATTATGTTTTTCATTTAAAGGATCTTATATTAATAGAGTTGGAATTTGATTAATTGCATTTTATGGATTAAAATAAATGGGATAAGCTGAAATTTATTAATCAGGTAGGAATACATATATGGTCTTTGCAATATAATCCATTTCACATCCATATAAATATAAAAATTCAATTAAACATTAAGCTAAGGATAATTATTAACCAGTTCTTGATTACAAAAAGGAAATAATCATTAAATTCAAACCATAACTACTTAAACCACCTTGATATGGATCTAAGAGAGATGATTAAGATAGAAATTATTTTAATACCATTGTTAAAGGTCTCAATTCTGGCAAATAGTTGAGATATGATTTGATTAATGAAACACATTAAATACCATTATGTCTTGGTTCTTAAAAAGATATATCAATTCTTTTATTAAAATAATAGCTAATAGACTTTAATTTAAGGACAGGAATTGCAGTAAATAGAATACATTTAGTTTCTTCAATAAATTTAGTTTTTGAAAATTCAATTTCCAATTTTTTCATTTGATCAACAATATACATAGTTTATGCAGTCATGATCACAATATCAATATCACTATTTGGTAAAGAGAGTTCAGTTGCAAAGGATCCATAAACATATGCTTCTTAATTTAATACTCTTTTGACTGTGGCTTTAATTTTATTAATTAATTCTTCTAAATTTTGTTAATATTATTTATTATATTGATCTACTTCTTGAATGTACTTATTTATGCTTAGATTAAGTAAAGTGAGTGAATCTTCTTTTGGAAGTATTTAAACAATTTTTTCAGTTTAAACTTCAATTTCTGTCTTTTATTCTTTAGGAAGAATATTAAGTAAACGAAGACGATCTTTATTGGATTTAGTAATGGCATCTAGATCAGAGAGATCAGCCATTGTATGAAACATTTTGGACATATTTTATTTAAATTAAAAGTATTTATTAAATATTCGTTTTTGTTCGATGAATTAAGATGTTTTAAAGTAGATTCGATAGCATTTCCCAATTATAGACAATATAATGTTTCGAAATATTCTATCTCAATAAAAAGATTAGAACCTATTGATAACATTAGTTTATATATTGAAGAGAGTTAGAGAAATAGTAGGACATATGGAAGATGTAACAAAGTTTGCATTATCATTATGGGAAAAGGAAGAGATATAGATTTCAAAAGAATGTAAAAATAAAATATTTATTATTAAAGTACATGACGAGATAATATTGAATTTAGTTGAATCGAAATTTTATTATTAAGCTCTTTTGGCAAATAAAAATAGCCAATTTTTGAGTAATATTGGAGTTAAACATTAGATAAGAACAAGATTTATACTGAAGTATCAGAATTGTCAGAACAAAGTAAAAAAGTCAATGATATATTGATCCAAAACTTTAGTGCATAAAGACCATATCAATTATTTGTAGAAGAATAACAAGAATTGTAATCTAAGAAAACTGCTTAGACTCCAAAAATACCATAAGTATAGAAAGGATAGAAATTATGTTCTTTGACTTTGAATATTTAAGATCGTGATTAAGTGGACAAATTATATAGAAATAATAAATAATATTTGCAATAATTGGGTATTAAAATGGAATATCCTAAAAATACAACAGCAACATAAACAGAATAGGTTGATGGATTAATACCTTTAAGTAGTAAAAAGAATAAGAATCAATAAAAAGATTAAAGTAAGGAAATGAAATTCTATGAATATCAATTGGAAATGGGTTAATGTACTCAATATTTACCTACTTATGATACAGTAGAATAATTAACTTAAGATATCAAATTATTTGTTTCTGAAATAGATTAATATAATAAAAAAAATAGAAATGCATTCTAAAAACTTATAGATGAAATTTCAGCTGTTGTAAGTACCACTTATGCAGGAGCTTAAATAGATGTATATGGATCTTATGCAACAGAATTATGTTTACCACATTCAGATATAGATTTAGTGATTAAAATATCTAATCAACATGAAAAATTTGTGACTGATATTTTATAAAGAATTGAAGTTGAATTAAAGAAATGTAAATTTATTGAGGAAACTAAATGTGTTACATAATCAACTACTCCAGTACTTAGAGCTAAATGCAATAAATAATATATGAATAAAAGACTTGATATTTCCATTCAAGAAACTAAACATAATGGTTTGTAATGTGTTTAGTTGATTAGGAAATATATTAAAAATTATGAACCCCTCAAACCATTGACACTTATTATGAAATAGTTTCTTCATAAAAGTGATCTCTCTGACACCTATAGTGGTGGTTTAAGTTCGTATGGATTAATATTGATGATAGTATCGTTTCTCCAAAGCTACCAAAATCAGGATAAGAATTGGCCAACAATAGGTACATTACTTATTGAATTCTTAAATGTATATGGATGTGAATTAGACTATGCTGGAAAAACAATATGTCCTGATTAACCTGAAGTTTTTGAGTAGGAAACTACTATAATATTTGACCCACACAATTTTGCATATTGTCAATAACAAAGTTTGGTTATCATTGATCCACTTAATCCATAAAATAATGTTGGACGTCCATCATATAATGTTGCTAAAATCAAAGTAAATCTTCTTTTCTCATCTTTTTTAGCTTGCATTCACTGTGGCTTTTTCTAAGTTACTAACCTTTGATTCCTCAACTCAACAATACCCACTTAAGTTTTTTTTCAATTCCGCTCAAAATATTCAATGTTCCCTACATTCTGTGCTTGTCAATCAATATAAAGCCTATGCAGATCAAATTATGTTTGGTACATCTACACGCTATTGAGTTAATAAAAATTCTATTTAAATCCAATTATTATAAGATTTATTATTTTAATATTAATGTTATTCTATTTAACAAATTTATTTAACCAATATTAGTAGGGATTAAATATTCATAATCTAGGAATTTAAACAATAGATAAATATATTTTCATATGCATAAATCAAATAAATTATACTAACATATTTATATTAAATATATAACTTCTAGAGTCAAATTTAGATTTAATTTCTTATAACAACTCAATTAATAAATTTATTATAACGATCAATTAGATTATTGAAATTCTTAATTAAAATGTAGAATATTACTATGATCATTAGTATTGACAATATATTGATTCAGCTTTAACCTGCGATAATAATGACAAAGATATAATTTATTTCAATGATATATAAATTTAATAATTAATACTATAAAATGAGTTAAATAAAAAATAAAATTAAAACATCTACAATCTAATTTGCTTCCTTGTGATTTGATTTTCACTTACAATGAAAGATTATTATCAAATAAAATGAAAATCTGTGGGGAGAGTTAAACAATTGATATTGTAAAACATTAATTCAGTGAATATATTAAAGGATATTGATACAATTTTGAATGCCAAAATATATTATATTATAATTTAATTAATTATCAAGATCAATTATAGATATAAAATTGATAGTATAGATAGCATTATTTATAAATATTTATAAAATTAATATCATTTTCTACATAAGATAATTGTTCAATATACAATTAATTAATAATAATTGTTTACAGTTTTATAAAATCAAGCATTATTATTTTATGGCACTTTTTTACTTATATCTTGAGTGGAAATGACTTAGACAGTACGACTTTTATTTTTTCTGAAAATTAAATAGATTATAATAAAGACAATGATTACAAATCCAGAGCATAAAGTTGTCATTTCATATCCAATCTTCTCAACGAAAGCTCCACAAATAATTGGACCAAATATATCACCTAAAGACCAACCAAATTAATATAGATTTGCTCCTATCAAATTTGCTTTGCATATTCCAACCTTATCTATACAGGAATCACTTATATTTGGTATAAAGAGTGAGCAACCAATACCTAAACTTATTCCTCTAATAAATTCTCCAAATAGAATAAAACCTATAGAATGTGGTAACTTAAATACTGTAGGACAATAGAAAAAGAAACTTATTCCCAAGATCCACATACCTACTTTAAAAAGTGTTTATTCTTGGAAATAAGTTTAACGAGCAACCAAGATTGCAGATAATAAGTAGGTGAAAATAGGAATCATAAAGAGATAAGAGATATTATACTCTGTAAGACCATAAAAAACTCCTAATTCATTAGCCTATTTATTATTATTATATAAATTACCAAAAAGGGTCTTAATCCATTTTCAAGAGCAGAAAGCCAAAAGAAAAAGATAAAAGTTACTTGTAATGACTTGTTTTTAAAAATATCAATATAATCTTTAACTTCTAATTTACTATCCTCTTCTGTAATTTCTTCTTATTCTTGAAGAACCTCTAATTGAGTGCTATTCTGCATTTTATTACCACTTTCAAAAAGACTAAGATGATTCATCTATTAACTATTATTTATCTTAGGAGNTTAATTTCTTATAACAACTCAATTAATAAATTTATTATAACGATCAATTAGATTATTGAAATTCTTAATTAAAATGTAGAATATTACTATGATCATTAGTATTGACAATATATTGATTCAGCTTTAACCTGCGATAATAATGACAAAGATATAATTTATTTCAATGATATATAAATTTAATAATTAATACTATAAAATGAGTTAAATAAAAAATAAAATTAAAACATCTACAATCTAATTTGCTTCCTTGTGATTTGATTTTCACTTACAATGAAAGATTATTATCAAATAAAATGAAAATCTGTGGGGAGAGTTAAACAATTGATATTGTAAAACATTAATTCAGTGAATATATTAAAGGATATTGATACAATTTTGAATGCCAAAATATATTATATTATAATTTAATTAATTATCAAGATCAATTATAGATATAAAATTGATAGTATAGATAGCATTATTTATAAATATTTATAAAATTAATATCATTTTCTACATAAGATAATTGTTCAATATACAATTAATTAATAATAATTGTTTACAGTTTTATAAAATCAAGCATTATTATTTTATGGCACTTTTTTACTTATATCTTGAGTGGAAATGACTTAGACAGTACGACTTTTATTTTTTCTGAAAATTAAATAGATTATAATAAAGACAATGATTACAAATCCAGAGCATAAAGTTGTCATTTCATATCCAATCTTCTCAACGAAAGCTCCACAAATAATTGGACCAAATATATCACCTAAAGACCAACCAAATTAATATAGATTTGCTCCTATCAAATTTGCTTTGCATATTCCAACCTTATCTATACAGGAATCACTTATATTTGGTATAAAGAGTGAGCAACCAATACCTAAACTTATTCCTCTAATAAATTCTCCAAATAGAATAAAACCTATAGAATGTGGTAACTTAAATACTGTAGGACAATAGAAAAAGAAACTTATTCCCAAGATCCACATACCTACTTTAAAAAGTGTTTATTCTTGGAAATAAGTTTAACGAGCAACCAAGATTGCAGATAATAAGTAGGTGAAAATAGGAATCATAAAGAGATAAGAGATATTATACTCTGTAAGACCATAAAAAACTCCTAATTCATTAGCCTATTTATTATTATTATATAAATTACCAAAAAGGGTCTTAATCCATTTTCAAGAGCAGAAAGCCAAAAGAAAAAGATAAAAGTTACTTGTAATGACTTGTTTTTAAAAATATCAATATAATCTTTAACTTCTAATTTACTATCCTCTTCTGTAATTTCTTCTTATTCTTGAAGAACCTCTAATTGAGTGCTATTCTGCATTTTATTACCACTTTCAAAAAGACTAAGATGATTCATCTATTAACTATTATTTATCTTAGGAGAATCTGGAATAGCTATTTATTTGCCTTCTCTTTTTTGTTTAATAATCTACCTTATTTAAGTTTACCATTTGTTAATTGCCTTTTTAACATTAAGAGAGTCCTCCTCACATGATCTATCTTCTCCTCCACTAGAACTGCTTTTTCTCATTCCATTGATTTGAGGTACTTCCAAAGTTTACATAGTTGTATCATGTCTCTAAAGCTACCCTTCCATATTATCTACATTTTAGATTGACTAATTTAATATTTCATTTGGTTTGAGTTATTACTAAGACTAATTTAAATCTTCATTTTATTGAATTAAAGAATTATCATTTTAAACAATAACTTCAATTGGAGTAATTGTTTAAGTTTTTGTGATAATATTGATTGGATTATTTTAATTAATTGAAGGTCTACGCTATTCATTTTGTTTTTTCTTTGGAGAAATTCCTTCTGGTACTTCAGGTAAATAAAAATACTTGTATGTTACTAAAAAACTGATCACATATATTGTTGCTAATCCATAACATGGTAATTAATAAGTATCAAATGAAATAAGTTAAGCAATCATTGTGAAGAATCCTGTACTTGTTAGTCTACCTGCACAATGACCCATTTCTAATACTGCAATCTTTTAAGTCACATCTTCTTTAAATAATATTGGTAATGCTGCATATGATGGGATGAGCAAAAAAGAAGCTCCCTATTGATATAGTTAAATTATAATACAGATCCTATGATTACTCGAAAAATGCATGATAACGCAAAAAATAGACTACCTTCCGAAAATTTAGACACACCCATTCCAATAGTTGCTATAGAACTTTAAATCAATCCAATCAATATGGCTTTTCTTTTAGAACTACACATAGAAACAAAAGGTGTAGCAATAACACTTCCAATAGGATAAAATGCAAGCATGATACCAATTTCAGTCTCAGTAAATCCTTTTTCTGATGCCACTGGTGAAAAATAAGGTAATAAGGCAGTGTAAACACTATCTGATATTGCTACTAAGTCAAAAAGAATAAGGAAAAGTGTAATTTGTAATTGCATATATATTATTATTATAAGTTCAATCTATGAACATCATTTTCAAAAATATTTAATTTAATTTATTAATCTGACACAATTTATTTATTAAAATGACATCATTTTTATTACAAAATTGACATTTTTCGCAATCATCACCAATTCTTTTTAGACCTTCCTTTTTCAATTTAAATTTCACTATTCTAAGTATTTTGAATCAATATTGAAATTTCACTATAAATTTTGAACATTTAATATAAATTTGTGATTTTAAACGTTTCAGTTTCCTTTTATTTTTAACTTATGAAATCTTTAAGATTTATATTTATAAATAATATTAAATTATGTGTTAATCAAAAATTTCATTTCTATTTTCTAATTATATGAAATTATTTTTTGTTTTATATATTTTGATCTTAATCTTTCCATTTCCAAAAAAGTTTTATCTTTCCATAATAGTTAATATTTGGATCATACTTATTCAATATTTATTGGAAAATATCTCAAATTTTATAGAAATTGATTTTTACAAAAAAAATTATTTCAAATCTTAACTAAAACATACTATGCATTTTCTAAATCTAAAATTCGTATATAAACTTTAAATACTGAAATTATATTCTTTATTTCATAGTTGGTTATATGCTTTCTTTTAAATATACAAATAATATTTTACTATAGAATAATCTCTTTATGATTGATATTTAAAGAAATCTGTAAATTAACAAAACTTTTAACTATTTTATTTCTTCATTATCTTTAAATATATAAAAAGATTTCATTTTTTATTTAAATGATTAATTCAATATATATTTCATTATAAATAGTTGAATTGTTTTAAGTTTATCATTAAATTAATATAGTGTTTTATAATAATATTTAACCACTTTTTCATCAAATACTTGTGATAATATTCTATAGATTAAATTAAAGAAATGTTCGAAAGTTAAGCATTTAATTTGTTTGTAGAACTATCATAAACTGAACTTAAAATAATTAGCATAAATTTATAAAACATTTTTTGGTTTATAAATTATTATGATATATATATATATATATATATTTATTTTCAATGAAATAAATATATTAAATATTGATTATATATTTGATTATTTAATGCAGTTACATAGAATTATTAGATGTACTAGATGTATTAGTTTAATCAAGAAAGTTTATATAATTATTAATTCTTATAATTATATATATATATTCATTTAATATTCTTTAGTATAAATAAACATAAGCTAGTAATTGGATAATCTTGATTGTTCTCTAAAGTGATGATTAAAAAATATTATATATATATAATATTGAATTTAATGAGATTGTGAGATGCATTAATTAATAATGATGCATTTTAATTTGAATAAAGTATTGTATACGAAACATGGATATGAAAGAGAGATGAAAAGAAAGAGTATAGATGAAATTAGACTAGATATTTGAAATTGAATTTGTTTAACTTTTTTTTGGTTTTAATATTTAATTTAAATGGAAGAATAACCGTAAATTGAAAATACCATAATAGAAGAAAGGTATAAGAAAGCTGATGGAGAGACTGCATATCGTAGATACTAGAAAGGTAAGGTTTTAGGAAAGGGTGGGTTTGCGAAATGCTATGAAGTTACTTCTATTGAAAGCAAGAAAGTATTAGCAGCAAAGATTATTGCTAAAAGTACTTTAAAGAAGGGGAGAACAAAAGCTAAGGTATTATTATAGATTAAGAGTAGTTAATTACTGAAATAAAGCTTCATAAATCACTTCATCATTAGAATATTGTTTAATTTGAAGATGTATTTGAGGATAATGAAAATGTCTACATACTTTTGGAACTGTGTTAAAATCAAGTGATTAAATTTTATTTTAATGTTATTAGACTTTAAATGAATTATTGAAAAGAAGAAGAAGAATCACTCAAATAGAAGTTTAATGTTATTTGAAGTAATTGATTGGTGCATTGAAATATATACATTCTCATAGAATTCTTCATCGAGATTTGAAGTTAGGCAATCTATTTATAAATGAGAAGATGGAATTAAAATTAGGAGATTTTGGTTTAGCTACAAAATTAGATTATGATGGATAAAGAAGACATACTATTTGTGGTACTCCAAATTATATTGCACCTGAAATATTGGATGAAAGAATGGGACATTCATATTAAGCAGATATTTGGTCAGTTGGTGTTATTATCTATACACTATTAATAGGGAAACCACCTTTTGAAACTTCAGATGTAAAGACAACTTATAATAAAATATCACAATGTTAATTCAATTTTCCAGATCATATTTAAATATCTGAAAATGCTAAAAATTTAATATCTAGAATTTTAGTTCTTGATCCTTCTAAAAGATTAACATTAGATGATATTTTAAGCCATCCTTTTATGACATCAAATCCAATTCCTAAAACTACTCATATTTCTTAATTATTAAGTCCACCAACAGCAGCATGGTTATCTTAATATTCTTAGGCTGCAATGTTTAGTTCTTAAGCTATTATGTTTAATTCTAAATAATTATAACCTGAATTAGTATAGGTCAAAACTACATCCTAAATTCCAAAGATGAATGATATATTTTCAACTTAACTCAAAATGTCTTAAGCTTAACGCATTAAAAGTATTTATTTATTTAAAAATATAGCATTAACTGAAGGAATTAATTACTTAAAAGAAAATCAATAAACTTAGTAAAAATAAAGTTTAAATTTGGAGAATAATACATAATAATAATTTGTAATTATCCTATTATAACTTAGAGTAAGGAGAATAGTGGCTTATATGTTATAAAGTGTTGTGATTATCAAAGTAAATATGGTATTGGTTATGTTTTATCTAATAATAATTGTGGAGTTCTATTTAATGATTAGACTAAAATAATTAAATGCAACAAATTATAATTCAATTATATAGATAAATTTAATCTATAATAGAATTATGAATTTGATAATTATCCATCCGATTTAATTAAAAAAGTCACTTTATTATAAAAATTTACTTTGTATTTAGGTATTGATGAAAATACAACAAATTCAGAAGTTTCATAAGTTTTCGTTGATAAATTTCTTAAAACAAGAAATGCTCTTCTTTTGAAACTTACTAATGATGTAATTTAGGCTAATTTTATTGATAAAACTGTTATTGTTATCTTATAAAATTAGAATATTATTTTTGTTAATGAAAAAGGTGAAAAATTTAGTTATACTTAAGAATAAATAAAGGATAAAGATAAGATTCAAAGAAGGTATTATAAATAATTTAATTTTAGGTATAATTATGTATAACAATTAAGAAGTGGCTGTTAATGATGAATGTTTACTTTATTTTAATAATTAATTTATAAAAAAAATATTCTGGAAATTTAAATGGACAATCCAAAGAAAGAGCATTCATATACATATTGGGTTAAACATGATCCTAATCATCCAAAAATTGATTGTTAACCTAAAAAAGTAGAGGATCCTTCTTAAGTTTAATAACCTTAAACTATTGGATCATAATGGAATGTTTCAGGTACTTGGGAAGAAAAGAAAGTACCCATGAATGAGATTAAAAAATCATTGGAGAATATTATTGGAGTATATAAGCTATTAAATATATTTTAGATGAAAATAGGATAAACTAAGATTTCAGCTGTAGAATCAGTTGAAGGAGAGGCTCATCTATATTTAAGCAGAGGAAAAAAGAGAATGGGTTATCATCTAAAAATCACATATGCTCTTGAAGATAATGGATAAATCAAATATACAGATTTTACAGATGATGGAGATAGAGATGTAATATAAAAATATAAATAATCAAGTATTTATTAGAAGATGTAAATGATGAAACAGTTAAACATTAAATTGAAGAATTACATGATATAACAAAGCAATATGTAGAAGTGTTTAAAAATTGATATTGATCTATATTTATTTTTAAAGTTATTTTACACTTTATATATGTTTAATAAAAGAAATTTAAATGAACAATGTCATTTCTACAATATAATTATTCAGTATTTTTTTAATACGTTTTAGAAATACTTTTAGTATTAATAAATTCATTCATATTTTACAGGTCCAATACAATCAGCTATATCTCCCTCATTAAACTTATCACTACCTTTTATGACTCTACAAGTGACTTTCATTATTGATCCTTCCATTTAACCATCATACTTTATTTAAGCCCCATCCTCAAATGTAGCTATACAATCTAATATTCCATTTTTTAAAGTTCCAGCATATATCTTTTTTAAAGCATTTTCTTCATTATCATTCTTATTTCCACCACTTATTGTTCCATTAGATGAAAGTTCAAACTTCATTTCCCATCCTGAATTGGTTACTAAATTATACTACTAAGCCCCTTTTAAAATTTTCCATGTACAAGTTCCATCTTCACCTCCTCCAACTTTCACTTTTACTTATTTTTGTTCTGTTTCACTACTTTTGCTACAATGACAAATACCCATTCAAATTAAAAAAAATATTAAAAATCATATTCAATCAATTTTATTATTTTCTTGACATTTTTCATAATATTATTGAAGTTAATGTTAAAATCCTTCATTTGGATAAACAAAGTCTCTTTTTTCTTTTATGTATTATAATGCAACATCTGGACTCATATGTAGTTCTTTAATAAAATATGCAATAAGTATAGAGACAGATCTTGAAACACCTACTTAACAATGAACAAGAACATTAGTTATTTCAAGATGATGTTTAATAAACGAATTTGTTTATTAAAAATGTTCAAATAAATTATAATTTGGTTCATCATAAGCTACAATTCTGAGATGATGTACATAATCTGGAATCTTTTTATCTAATTTTTCAATTGCAGAGATAATTGCACCAAATTTATACTTCTAAATATATTCAAGTGATTTTATTCCTCCTACATACAAATTGCCTTTTTCTTTATATTTAGATTAATGAATTAGTGTACAACCATAAATTTCCTATTACATTTTAATATTATTATTAAAGAATTACTTTACAATTTTATTAATATAGATATATTTAATTTTAGAAATAAATATTATTATCTTTAGTAAATACAAAGATTATCATGTATTTATAAATAAAAAATTATGAAATTAATTTTATCAATAAATATAATCAAATAATAAGTATAACAGATATGTAAGAGATTTAAGGATTTATAATATATTCACATTTTTTATAATTATTATTGTCATTCATTAATTTACTTTATTATATAATTAGAAATTTAGAAAACACTCTAAATGGTTATAAATGAAATTTTAATAAAGAATTGTATTTGGTATTATGTTTAGTGAGATGAAATCGATTTAGATAGTAAGATAACATATTTAGATTTTAATAATTTGGATCTTTGAATATAATAATATAAATAAGGGATATTATATTGGTGAAATTATTAATTAAATAAGAGGAAATGAAAAATTTTCATAATATTGTATATAAATTGTAATTTATTAGTAGAAAAGAGAGAGTGTTTAATGGATATTGAATATATCCAAACTTAGATGTTTATATATAAAATAAATAATTAATATTTACCAGAAAAACTTACTGATTTAGTATGATTATTTAATTTAAGATTAAGCTTTATCAGATTTTTGTTAAGAATTTTCCAATGAAATCAGAACTGGAAGATCTAGATTTGAAAATATTGTTGAGAGAACTAATATTTATGGTTATAATAATCCTTCTATGTTTTTATTGAGAATACCATTTTATATGGATATTATAATTATTGAGTGGTATGACTCATTACAAAAAAAATAAAATCTTATTCATGAAAACTCTGAATCTTGATCTTCTTCAATTTATTCATATTTTACTGTCTTCTTATCATAAAATATCTAGTTAATTATCAATCATTTACTATATAGAGCCCTAATAACCATTGCAAAATGAAGAAGAGTATGCAAAATACACGCAAAGTTACACTGTTATTAATATTATATAACCAAATCCATAAAGGAAAGAAAACAAATTATTAGATTAATTGTTTTTTATCTTATTATTCTTTAATAGTTATTTTATTATCTATATAGCTTATGGCTGAACTAATTAATATCAAAACTACAAACACAATAACTGGATAAGCCTTTTCAATATAATTATATTTTAATTACAATAATATAACCTTAATTCTTATTATATTCTTCTGAAAAAGTAGACTCAAAATATCCACTAAAATAACCTAATTTTTCATTTGAAGGACATTTATTTTTATGTGATTTAGTATTTTGAGGACAAGGTATGAAATTTACAATCACCATTGCAATTGTCCATATTATAAATTTGAATAAACCAGTATAAGAAATATATTTGGAATGCTGAAATACGTATCTTTAAAATATTATGAATTCAAATTACTAATGCATAAATTCTTCTTTTAATTTGATTGCATATATATTTGTTCCTATTTGAAGTAGAGTTGCTATCAAACCAATATAACATTTATCATTCCCATCAATATCTAAAGCTAGTGAAAAAATGCCTGTTAATAGAACAACACCTGCATAAATGATTTTTAATTAATCGTATTTATTCGTATATATGATATAGAATACAAACACAATTCCTTAACACTATATTAATTATTTTAATTTACTATAATGAACAATCCAAAGCTCATATAGAATAATTCAAAACATATTAATAATATGTCTGCTGCTTGTATTGATGCATGAATTGCATACAATGTTAATGGTATATATGTTTATTTATGTTCACTTATTTCTTTTTCAAGAAGCTATTCTCTCTCCTCTTCATTTATGGATTCTTCCTTTATTAAAAATACCATTGATAAAATCATTCCAAAAAACCATAACCAAATCCATTCAAATAAATAAAACATACCATTGTATTCAAATAAGCCTATCATTAATAAACTCAAGGCTAAAAAGCTCTTAATAAATAAATTTCTATACATGACACCATATAAGAGTAAAAAAAACATTTCTTTTTTTATTAATTATAATTCCATAAATATATTAATAAAATATTGAAATTAAACTCAAGAAAACAAAAATAATAATTATGGAATGAGATTTTAATCAGTAGCCTCTATGATCCATATATTTTTCTCAATCATCATTACTCTAATATAATTATTATATCCATAAGTAGCTCCTAATTAAATTATTATAAATCCTATACCATAGTAATTATTCACTTCAGTAAATCTAATTTTCTTAAATGTGTCCCAACCAATCTATAATCTAAATGGATGACTTTAATATAATCGAACATCCTTAATCTTTACTTAAAATATTTCTGCTCTTAAATCAAGGAAATCTATAAAGTTATATTGACATGTTGGTAACAACACATTTAATATTTAATTTTCAATCTCTATTTTACAATTAATAAGTTCCTTGCATTCATCAACCACTATTAAATATTGTAATTCTCGTTCCAAAATCTTTTTATTGTCTTATTTTATCCAAAACTTAGTTGCTGTATGTAATAAATTCATAATTACATTTATCTCCTTAAAATTTGATATTAATTGACAAACTTTGATCAACCTTATTAAAAATATACAATGATATTTTCAAGTAATTTTTATTATTCAACACTTAAAATTATAATCCAAATGTACAATAAACTCTAATTAATTCATTCTCAAATAAATTCCCCTTCCCTAATAAACATGTCTTCTTCCAAACATCAATCATTTTTTAAGTATATCCACATTTACTTAATTTTTATTATATATCTAGAAATTGATTATTTAATTAATGACCTGAATAAGGTGCACTAATTTACTATTTAAAAACATCATATTATTATGAATTTCTAATTTCTTTAAATTAATCTTAATTTGACCCAACATTCTTTTTATCTTATTCTTAATCTACACTATTACCAAAAGTTAATTTCATTCCTTAAGGTTTTTAAGTATACTAATCTTCATATTATTACAAAGATAAATTTTTATTCTCTTATCTTTAGGGTTATTAATAATAATCTTATGCAAATTAATTTTTATTCTATTATGGTATCGTTTACTCAAATTATGAATATTCAGTTTCAAGTAAAAGTGTATTACTTTATTAAGCTGGTTTAAAAGATTTTTATTGATGTAAATCTTATTAATTTTAATATTTTTATTGATCTTAATACTACTTTTATTAGAACTATTAATCATATTAAATTTGTTATTATAAAAGTTAATTTTACATATCGAATGGATCATATTCATCATATTAATTATTTTACTATTATTAAATTACTTTTTATTTTTCAACTTATTTAATTTTATTTTAAGATCTTGATTAATCAATCTATTATTATTATTATTATTATTATTATTATTATTATTATTATTATTATTATTATTATTATTCTAAATCTCTTTAATAATTAATTTAAGAAATAATTTTCTCCTTCTTTTCAATTTAAGTATTTGTTAATTCATTTAATCTTGATACATCTTATGTATCATCTTAACCTATTTATCTTATTGGAGAAAGAGGTTAAATTTTAGATTTTTAATAAGCATCAGATGGAGTATAATTCTTTTTAGTAATTTTACTAGCTTCTGTTAAAACAGCATGTTGAAATTCTAAAAATCCATTTTTAGTTTTATTTCTTTCAAAATGATTAAACTTTAAATTGAAAATCTTTATGAAATTACATAACAATTCAATCTAATCCTTTTATTATTGACTCAATTTATCAGATAATTCATATTCCAATTATTGTAATTTAGCATCGCTCTCTTTAAAAGTATCACAATAAAACTATAACACTAAAATCATAATTTTTAGGTACTGTCTTTTGCACCCTCTGGATTGCAATTTTAATCATTAAGCATATCCCAAATTGTGTCAATTTATTCATTCATTTCAATTTGTAATTCCTCCACTTATTATATTCCATTTTCTCTATTAGATTCCATTTATTGTATTTATTGTCTTTTTACAGGTTAATTCTATTCAACAGCTTCCTCTATTTCACTAATATCTGCTGTTAATTCTCTATTTTGTTTAGGAAAGACAATATCTTATTGAACCAATCTGTCATACAAGATTTTAAACTTAGTGGATTTGTTAGTTGAAGTAACAGGATATTTTTCAGCCAAAAATTTGATTAGTTCTAATATCAAATTGAAATATTTTATAGCAATCTATGGAGCTAACAATTTAGTAATTAATCTAAATTACTATCATTTTCAAATTTATAGATTCCTTTATATTCATCATCAGAACCTGGTTGAAACATAACAATATCTTATAAATAATTCAAAATTGAATTATTGCTAGCTAATTTATTTGTAACAGATCCAACTGGATTTGTGCAAACTGCTTCTCTAATAATCTATAATTTTATAAGTAATTAACTATACCATTAAAATGAGATACTTCTTTAATAGGCTTTCATTACTTTAAAATATTTCATCAGCATATTGAATAAAATTAGGAGCAAGTTCACTTTATATTTTAATAATAACTATACCTCTCTTTTTTCAATTTATCCAATACTTTATTTATATTTAGCTAAAATCCCTAAGGACTTTAAATACAAGCTTTTATTTCTTCCATTCAAACTTTTATATTATATATAATTCTGTTATGAAAATATTTATCAATTATTTCTGTTAAATAGATTATCTTTGATTAACTTCATCATCTACTAAACAATTAATATCATATTCAAATATACATATCATCTGTAGTATTAATATCATAAGAACCTTCATAACTAAGAACTAAATAATAAATAAAGAATTGACTATAATTTCAGATTATAGATAAGATTGTAAAATTCTCAAATTTAAAATCTATTTTCCTACAGATACACAAAGAATTATACAAGAATATCCAATATTCTTTAAATGCTTATATAATAAAATCTAAATCTAAGAAGTGATCTAATTCAGTTTTTTTGATTTATTTCTAAAAGAAAGACAGGGATCTCCTGATCTTATAGAACTATAAGATAACATAATAATTGTGAAAATAAATTAATATCAGACTCTTTCATAAAATAGAATATAAGCTTAATTGTTAATAAATTATTTAAGAGAAACTTTCTTTAAGTTGCTATAACTTTAATAGTACAACTCTTCATATTCAGTAAAAGTATTAAAAAAATCAATTAAACTCAAAGTTTATTATTTTTATTCATAAATTTTTTAGCTGATTATTTTTTTTGTATAAAAATTGAATTTATGCAGATAGGAAATAGAGTATAACAACATCTTTCGACTTTTCACTTGAGATCTCTGAGTTTTCCTGTAAAAATCTCTTATTAATCAGGCCTTTTGGTTTTTTAATTGAACAACATAGTAAAGACAGTAATCAAGTTTTGGCTTAATGAAACAACAATCTATGTATTCAACTAAATAAGGTGAACTAAATTCTTAAAATAATTGCATAAATAACTTCAACAAGGCATTCAAAAAAATCGAAGGAAATCAGATGCATCCTAAATTCATATAAAAAATCATTCTTATCTATTAATAATATTAATCTTACATTCTTTGTATTGATTTGAATAAGTTTCTACTCCTTTTGCTGTTTAACAAAATAATCTAATAAATTTAATTACCCAATAATTTGGTTTTTAGGCCTCATTTATTATTTTGCCTATTTATTCCTTACAATTGCTATTCAATCATCATTTACATAATTAAAATTACAAAATGAAAAAATATATTTCTGATGATCCTAATAAAAATGATTTAGAGTCTCTGAAGCATTTAAACATTACATAACAGAATTAAAAAATCATATATTCCCCAAATTTTTTAATCAAAATACTTATTAAGGAGTGTAATTCAGAGTTAATGTTATCACAAACATAACACCATATTGTAAATGATGAGTTAAATAATGCTTTAATGAACATTAGTTATTATTATTTATACAACATCCATATTATATGTATAACCATTTAATTTTCACATTATTACTCTTTTAAGAATTATTATAACAATTTGTATATTTATATAAGAAATTAATTACTCCAAAAAAATTAGTCTTAATATCAATTCCCAATTTACTCTAAGTTGTATTTAGAGAAATGAACTCATGATCTTTATCTTTACATAAATTAAATTATTAATTATTATATCATTTCCAAAAAAAAGTATGTTATTTTATGTGAAATTTATCAACTTAATTCTGTAAGAATTTATTAGACAATGAGGCTTTATTAAATTAATTTATTTAGATACTCAAATCATTAATTATATAAATATGGAAGATTTTGAAGAAAGCTCTGAGTATTTTGTAAGCTTTATATATCTAAACTAGAAACCAAAACTCATCTAAGAATTAAAAAAAAAGAAAATTAAAGAATTACATTCAAGTCCTAATTGGGAACATATCCAATAAGTTGTTGAAAGTATTTAACAAACAACATATTCAATTCATACTATTAAGTCTCTTAATGATAATATCTTCAAAGCATTGACTTTTAAAGATCTTTGTGGATCAGATATAGCTTATCACTTGATAACAAACTTTCAATTTGATTAATTTATTGATTTAATAGGATAAGTTGAATCAATTTTTACTTTTGATTTCAATCAAGTCATTTAATCTGTCATCAAAGGAATTTTGTAAATAAAAAAAGAAAATAATTACAATAAGATATTGGTATTTATAAAATAGTTAACATCTATTATTAATTCAAAAAGGGAAGATGAATAAGCTAAAGGTATAATATAAATCCTATAATTATAAGCATTTAAATTTAACTTTGACATTGTTGTAAGTTCAAGATTCAATTATGTAAAGAACATTTGGGAATTAAAATTATTGATAAATCTTTACAAATTGCTTGGAAATTTTGAAGATGCAATAACAAAACTAAAAAGCTTAAAGAAAGATCTAAATATAAAAAGTATACTTAATTCATCACATCAAGAAAGAAGTTAAATTAATCATTTAAAAATCTAAAATTATTTTTCAGGAGATCCATATAATTATATGTAATATCTATAATAATAAAAAATAGCATATTGATTAATAAAAGATGTTGGGATTTAATTTTAAAATTAAACATTTCTTCATTTTTTGTTACTCTTTCAGATGGATTTTCTTTATATATGAGAATATTGAAGACAGCTCCTTTTGATATTTTAGTAGAATTTCATAAAATGCATAATTAAACAATAAAGGATAATATTGATTCATAACACAAAGGTATGTATAATATTTTGCATTGCATTTCTGAAAATAAACATACTATAAGCGATGAGTTTATTTAAATATTATAAGAATTGAATCTAGTTGATCTTAAGAAATAGGCATATAATGAATAAATTCCACTTGTAGTATATCTATAATAATCAAAATCAATAAATTATAACTATTTAAATTATCTTTTAACTGATATTAAAGATTAAAATCACAATTAATTTGAGGGTTTATAATTATTAATATAGTTATATGCTAGAGGAATATATTAAAATTATAATGATAATAATAAAAAACTTTGTGTAAGTGGAAAAAAGACTTAAAAAATTAATTAATAAAGAAAGAAAATAAATCGTAAATAAAATTATAAAAAAATATAATCAAGATATAAAAAGTCATAAAGCTTATGTGTTAAATAAGATTAATTTAGATAACAATTAAGTACATTTTCAAATGATATTAAAATTTGTGCATAAAATATATATGAAAACACTGTGGCAACTCATCAAATTTATAATTTTAAAGGAATTTAATAAGAGTTTAATGTAACACACTATAGTTTCTCTATGTGTCACTTTAATTATAACATATCTAAAGTAGATTAACCATTAGCCATATGGATTAAGGATCCAAAACTATTAGATTCATTTTTAGATTATATTGATAAGGAATTTTGTTAAAATATTAATCAACAAATCAAGGAAGCCATAGAAGCTCTATTAAAAGAACTCAAATGTTCTATATCAATAGATGATTTAATAATGTAAAGAAAAATTATTATTTTAAATGCTTTATTATAGTAAAACAGAACTTAAGAAGAAAATTCAAAGATAAAAAGTTAAATTTTGACTTTATTAAGTAAATGTTAAGATAGCTTAAGATAACCATTCTTTAGTTATTCTAAATATTAAACATTTTAAGATTACTTAATATGCAATGATTTAATTACCTTTGAAGCATATTAGGTTGATGATGCATTTTAATCTGTTATGAATCTTCTTAGTTTGAAACATGAAAATTAAAATAATATTTTAGGTTTAGCTCAAAAGGTTGAAAGAGTTTAAAAATATCCGTCTTTACATAATTTACTTTAGATTTGTTTTTAATAAAACATAATAAATAGATGTTATACATTTCATTAGTGTTAAAATTAAAATGATTTTCTTGATAGTCTTATAAAATAAACTATTATTAAAAGTAATTTGATTAAGAGTCCTTAAGGAATTGAACTTATTTATTAATTTATGGATAAAGGTTTGCATATTTAATTGTTAAAGAGTGTTCTTTATAATTTTTAAGAGGAATGTATAATAAAATACTTTTAATTATTTTATTAAATAGAATCAAATGATTTCTTTATTAAAGAGAAAAAGCACTCTAAATTAATAATCTATCATTTGACATAATAATAATTAGGATTTATATTTAATTATCAATTATAGGGAATAAGGATTGTATTTAACTTAAGGTTAAAAAAAAAACTTAATTTAAAAGCAAATACAATTTAAGAAGAAATTGTTTTATAGTAAATTAAAGAAAATAAAAATTTTTTATAAGTTTTAGTTTCAAATGATCAATATTCTGAATTTTTATAAGTTTCTTTGAAATTTTATTCATTATATGAGTAAGGAGACACTATTGATTATATATTAGAAGCTTTAACTAATGAAGCTTACAAGAATTTGATAATTTTAGAATAATGGATTTTCGATAGGTTTGATTAATGCTAAAATTAAGTTAAATATTAAAAAAGCATGTTTATCTTTTTGAGACATTATAGTTTCTTAATATATGGAGCCTTTGGATAGAAATAAAAGAAAATTGACAGATCTAAATTCAATAGATAAATTAAAAATTATTGTACAATATTTGAAAGATAAATTGAATTATCAAAGGGTTTAAAAAATTCAAATTTTTTTAAGTATAGTAATCATAAGAAATTTGAGAAATTCTTTATTATTTATTTTGATGAAGAAAATACTCTTTTATTTTCTGATTATACCTAATAATTCTTTAACAATTAAAAATCATCAATTCATGTTAATTATGTTCGTAATTCTGAAAATCCATTTATACCAGCACTATTAAATAGCCATATTAAATAAAATTTATTTGATATACTTGTATATTGGGATTTAATTACTAAAAATGAATCTGAAATGAAATAAATTATTGAAAACCTTGAAATACTACAAAATGAGAAATAAGAGAATCCTGAAAATCAATTCAATAAATATATTGTTCTTTATTATCTAATCAATTTCTAAGATTTAGGATTTATAAAACCTTACTTTTTGAAATGTAACTTTAATGATTATGAAATTGAAAAATTGTTTTTAAAGTTAATAGAAACTAATTAAATTAGAAAACTAGAATTCATTTTATTGAATTAAAAA